ATCTGCCACGTATTGGCCCAATGCATCAAATGATCTAAATCTCCCTGTAAGTCTCCAATATCTAATTGTCATCCGTAAACTTCAATATTTTGTTAGTCATTCCAGGGTCAATATCATTAATATAAATCACAAACAGCAGAGGACCCAGCACAGAGCCCTGAGGCACACTGTTTGTAACTGTGATCCAATCAGATCTAACTCTATTTATTACTACTCTCTGTTTTCTACTCTCCAGCCAATTTTCTATTCAATTTAATAACATTTTCCCCACACCCACAGCTTTAATTTTTGTAACAAGTCTTTTGTGAGGCACCTTATCATACACTTTCTGAAAATCAAGGTAAACCAAATCCACAGTATTTCCTTCATCAAAGAATGTCATAAGATTTGTTAAACATGATTTTCCCTTTGTGAAATCATGCTGGCACTTTGACACTATATCAAACTGCTTTAAGTGACTCTGCAATGCGTCTTTAATCACACTCTCCAAAACCTTTCCAACTACTGATGCAAGATTAAGTGGCCTGTAATTGCCTGGACAATGTTTATCACCTATATTGGACTAACATTAGCCAACTTCCAATCTTCTAATACTTTTCCACTACTCAATGACCTATAAAAAATATAAGCTAGCAGTTCACAAATAAAATCTTTAAGTTCCTTTAAAACTTGCTCTTTTTCAATTTTCTCACCACCCCTTACTGGTCACGAGTTTGAATCCCATTACCAAACATGTTCACCCTTTTCAGCCATGGAGGTGTTATAAAGTGACAGTCAATCCTACTTTTTGTTGGTAAAAAGAATAGTCCAAGAGTTGACAGTGGGACCAGGCCCATAAAGTGTTAGGGTATAGAAAATAGCAGATAAAATATAAAGTTTTACTAAAAAAATAACAACATGATATTCATTCAGGAAGTTATGAAAATAAAATCTGAAACAAAATCATGTTGTACTTGAACTAGACAGAGTCTGAGTCAGAGTGACTGAAGTAAATTCAGAGACAAATATTTCATAGAAATACTTTGTTAAAAGTTCTGATTTTTTGAATGAAAATACACTAGTAAATTCACTAGTAAATACACTAGTCAATCAACCAACCATACATACATAGGGTTAATATATAGCATAAATGATGTCCGACTTTGCTTAAACAGAATTTATGACAATTTTGAAATCACTAAAACATTACAGCTATGAGTGTGCCTACAAAGTTTTACAGGTTAAACAAAAATTAGATAACTTTTTGCAATCTGATGTCTAAAATCAAGAGAAAAATTTCAAGACTGATGTCCAACTCACCAGTTCCCTCCCACATTGCCAATTGCATTGAGCTCATGGCTAGTGCAGTGTTTGAAAAAAGACAACTGGCCAGTTTCTGCCTTAATGACATTTCACTGTAGCGAGGTTGGATGAAGAAGTAAGGAGTAAAGGTTAAAAAAAAATCATACCAGCTCCTGCTGCTGCAGAACTAGCTGAAAGTATACAAACAGTAAATGTTATATAACTGTTTACACTATCATAAGATCTCAGATTATGTTTTGCACTCAGTGAGAAATGAGTACAGTTGCTTTTATTAAAATAAGACATGCAATATCAAGAAGAAACTGCTTAGTTGTAATTTAAAAAAATTATTGATTCATTCTTAGTGTTCTTAAGAAACAAATTGTGACTCTGGATAAACAGGAACTACAAATGACTTTGTATATATTAGTAGCCTGCAAATGAACTAAATGTGTTTGTTTGGTTATACAATAATTCAACTTAAAACACAAAATATAACACCACTAAACAATTGTTTCAACCATGATATAAATTACACTTTAAATGTAGTACATGATAACTTGAGTATATAAATTGCTGGACAGGGTGGTCATTTATCACAAATATACTAGTTAACCCTATAGTTAGAGGTCAGAGGCCCGTGGCTATGCATTTGTTGACTTGCATTCAAAATTTTACTGAACTACTATTTTATGAATTTATGTCAATAAGTTTGGTATTGAATTGTAGAGTATAATTCAAATCTTAGTATAATGCATTAGCTAATTTCTTAATTTAAAAGTAAATATTAAAATAATGCAATTAAATATTGATTTTTGTGTGTCACATGGTATGTTGAATGCAGCACTGGTTCAAATTAGATGTTTGTGATGTCCAAATACAAAGTCTATAGTTTTGTATGAATTAGTAACTCAAATTACTGATATTGACAAGCTACAATATAAAATAAGAATCTCCTATCTTTTCTATTTGCTGAGATATCACTCATGTACTGAAACACACATAGTGGCCCCATCTCTTTCCATTTTTGGAAACACTTCCTTATGTACATGTACTTCTGTCTACGACATGTAAATAACCAATTGAAAGTTCAGAATATCCCCCTAGGGGCTTTGTCAGCCATTTTGAAGTATAATAATGTCAACTCTTTCTTCTGATACAAAATTTCAAGCTGTTGAGTCTTTCGTCAATTCGAAATTTCATATTTTTTTAGACCCAAATTCAACTTAGTTACAAAGTTTAATAAATCATAGTGGAATTCTATGGTAATAATGTAGTAATTTATGATTTTTAGTTATTTCAAGTGTATATATAAACCCTAAAAAAAATTATTTCATTTCACATCCTCCACATACGAAATTTTATAAGGCTTAGCAGCCTTTGTCAAGCAGCAACCGAGTACAAATTTCATAACTAGAAGAAATAATTGTTTGCTATACGTCTTTATTTACTTTTCTATGTTTTAAGAAAAATAACTTTAAGAACTTATTTGTAAATAGTAATAATGTAGTATATACATATATAATGTATTATAATT